GGTTCCGCTACATTGAAATGATGAAGTTCGTTCCTTTTTCTAAAGGAAGGAATTCAATGTTGGCTTCAACATTTTCTACTATTTCATTTCCTTATTTTTACTTTATATTATATTGCTCTTAGCAACCCCTCTTTTTGAGCAGAGTTTCGTCATCTTTTTATGAGTTCTTTTTTCAGGTTGGTATCGGTTACAACAACGATGCCAAAGCCAAATATCCACGCTGCCATGATAATGCTTTTTCTAGGCAAAGATTGCAATTGGTATATCTGTTGAGTATAAGTGATTACTTTTGACTTTAAATTCTATTCATTTTATATTCTACAATCAGTTGTTTTGATTGTTTCACTACATGACCGAAAAAAGTTAGATATGTATTGATGAAAACCAATATATCAAGCATAGATATGTTGGTCTTGAGACTAAAATTCAACTGAAACTGTTTAATATTTCATATATAATATTTTTTAATATTATATATATTTATGAATTTTATGATGGCAGCTTTGGTTGTGGTAGCAGTCCATAACATTTCAAATAGTATGTTTCTACTGCTTACTTAGTGAGTTACTGAAGTAACTTTAAGATTTTGTGGTTTCTATTAACAAAAGTTACTTTTTGCATTTATGTATTAGAAAGTTCTTTGAAAGTCCTAAGACAGCTTCTGTTTGTTTAAATAAACTTCACTTAATAATATATCACACAAAAAATTAAATATGTAAATGGTATATTAAGTCGTTTCTATTAACAAAAGTTACTTATTGCGTGTGAAAGAGCCTTTATGTGTCAGACAGTTCTAGGAAGTCTTACGACAGCTTCTGTTTGTTTAAATAAACTTTACTTAATAATATATCACACAAAAAATAAATATATAAATAGTATATTAAGGTGTTTATATATATCTATACATATTTTATGTATCCATTACATATTTCCTTAATAAAAACAAGGATTTTAATAAATTTTTACTTTTTCAGTACATTTGTTTACAGCTCTGTTGTTGTTTGTTTATATTTAATATATAAAACATATAGTCATATTTCAAATTTTGGTAATTTTCCTTACTTTATCTTTAAGTAAATTAAAAAGTACAGAAGCTCTTTGTATGATTAACGAAATTTACTAAGTAAGTTACACTTACTAAGTAAGCAGTGGAAACATACTACATATAATAAATAGCCTTCGATACACTTAAAATTCAAGTGAAGCTATAAAAATTTGTCGATGATTGTATCTTTTCATATATTTTTGAATTTTTGGTGGCAGTTTTGGTTGTAGAAACAATCCATATCAATCTTAATAGCCTGCGGTATATCCAAAATTCTACCGAACCTGTGTAAATTTGTCGATAGTTTGATTTTTTCATATATTTGTGAATTTTATGGTGGCAGATTTAGCCATGCAATGCGGTATTTTATTTTGATGAAATATTTCCGTTGGGGTAGAATTTAAATGACTGGTTTCTTCATATACACCATGCTTCAAAATTAGAACAAAAATAAACAATGTTTTACAATGCCATAAGATTGAATAATATTATCCAATGCCACTAACTGTTAAACATTACCACAAACTAACATTAAAACTCTCAGCACTAAAAAAAACTCAAATACCACATGCTGGGCTTATTTCTTAAATAGATTATATGTAATTCGGTATTTATGTTCTGTACTTGTACCTTCCGATGATACGAAGAACTACAGCGCATATTGAACGCTTCAATCGACCAACTCAACCAACGATCGATCAATGCACATGATTGTTTTATTTACTTTGTATTGTAAACAATTTATTTGTTAACATTGCAAAGTTTATTTGTTAAACGTAAGAAAAAAGGATAAAAATCCTTTAGAAGTCAATATATTTATGCACTCGATTATTTTGTTAACATTTTGTTTAAATTTTGTTTATAAAAAAGTCGTAGACGTAGTTGCCGAGCAGGAAGTTTTCTACAAATCCTTTGTTAGTGTTTCTTTGTCTTGATCGTCTGTGTACCCATGTATACCCGTATGCACTCGTGTGTACGACGTTTTGGATATCTTAAGAATATTATTAACACATAATTTGTTGTACTTACGTTTGACATTGATTTCTTATACATAAATACGTTAACATTTTTACACATTTACGTATTTACAACGTAAATTTAATTGGCTCACACATAAGAACAACAACAATTTCCTAAGGCTACTGCAGTGTTGGTCTATTTGCGCGATTTTCATCTTTATACGCTTCGGAAAATTTTTAAAGAAAATTTACATTTATTTTTAAAATGTCAGAATATCAAAGACTTAATAATAATTATAACAAAAAATATTTATAATTATTATAATGGTTAATGAACGAATATTTAAACAAGTGTTGCTTCGGGAATATTTAATAAATTGAAAATGATTTATTTTCGATATATGGTTTTAACAATTGAAAGACGAAATATGGGCGAGTTAAAATTATTTGCTAAAAAATTCAAAGATTTCAAATTCCAAGCATTTATTTTATAAAAACAAATACTAAAAATTTGTATTTTATAATTATAAAAATAATTTTTCAAGCTACCAAATAATTTGTTAAAAATAAAATATTTCTTTGAATTAATTTTAAAGATAAGATTTAAGAAGACCAGATAAAAAAATCTATATGTAAAAAAGAAATAAATACAAATAGATCATTTAAGTGCAATAGCTTATAGAAAGCTATATCATAGCTATATGATAGCTATATGATAGTCATGGTAATTTTACACTTTTAACAGTCATAACCAGGAAAATGTGTCATAGATTCAAATCATTACTGCCAGTTTTCAATATATATATGTATATATATGTTAGTTTTTGCAGTGGCAAGCCATTAGACAACTTCCATGTACATCAATTAGCGATTTTTCGCCGTTTTGCTACCACATTCCTAGTAAGAACCCTAGTATAGAAGAGTCTAAATCCATTCCGCCGAATTTAGATAATTTAATAGGTTTTTCATCTTCACCGATGGACAGTCCGATAAACTATAAAGAAAGTATCTTCCTAAGAATCGATATATTCTGGACGCTAAGCCCAGGTATTCATAGAAAAGATGTATTATGGTTTCTTTCTCCTGCGGGTTACCACAACATCTGCAGTGAAGATTATGAGAATGCGTAGTTTCTCTGCGTGAGTTGCTACACACCAATTTAAAATTTCAAGTCACTTTACCTCAATTTACTCGAACTCGCAAACAGCCTTACAAGATATTGTAATATTCAATAATAAAATTGAATCAATTACTTTAATAATAATAATAATTATCAATTATTTTAATAAACAATTTTAATACATTTTACTTGTATCATGTTTTCACTGCAAGTAAAATTAATTGTATTAATGAAATTAAGATATAGTCATTTCAATTTCAAGCTTTATTTCATAAGCTAATTTATATATGTGAAATATCTTGTTTGTTTATATTTTACATATAAAATTTGACAAATATTTCAAATATTGGTAATTTGCTTTGCAGAAAATTTATTTTTAAGAATTGCATTCGACATTTTTCGCCTTAAATGAGTTGATTTATTTATAATGAGGTTATTTACATGAAAGCTCTTTGTGTGGGAAATTATCCTAATTAATGGTCTTAATGAGCAAAACTGCCTAAATGAGACCAAAGTAATATGATAAAAGATTAAAATTGCAACTGAATTAATAAAATACCTGATTCAAGCCATGAAAATATAAGCATTATTCTACTAAAATTTAAGCAATTTTTCTGTTGTATATTTTGAGATACTTCGTGAGTAATATTAGAGTTAAATATAAATGGTTAAGTAAAGCATATACATAAAAATTATAAAATTAAATTTTAAAAAAATTTTAAATATAATTTTTAATTCAAACTATAAGCATTAAAAAATTTAAAAAAACAAAAAAATTTTAAAAAAGAAATTGATTTTATATACAGTCATAAAGCGACATATCTGTAGATAAACCTATACAAATCAAGTCAGATTGATTAACTTAACTCTTACCTAGCTTTTGAAGCAAATTAGTATATATTGTGATAAGGGGAAATATTTTTATTGATTTTATAAGTAAATATATATAAAAAACTATACAAAACTCATATTGTAACCAAAATATCATTAAAAACTTTTTTTTAATATTTTATTTAGTCAAAAATATTTAAAATACAATTTATGAAAAAAAATTTTAAGAAAGTAACATACGCTTCAAGCAGTAAATTATATCCTTATATTGGTAAAATTTTGTTTTACAATATTTTTAAGGAAATTAAATGAACATCTTTCATTATTTTATCCTGTTTGGTAACTCTGTTTTTTAAACGAAGAAAAGTTAAGCAAATAATCGTAGTCAACGGTTAACATAACGAACATTGCCGAGTCAAAGCCGAATTACGCAAGTTGAAAAGACGTTAATTTTTAAACGGAAAATTTTGTGCAATTTAAATAAATAAAATAGAATACAAAAGAAAGTAATTGTGCAAGTGTAATTATAAACATAAATAGGATAATATTATACTTTAACTTAAGACACAATTTAAGTGAAGTGATATAATTATAAAACTACGAGCGCTAAAAGTTTCTTCTGTAAATGCGTTGCTGCTTGAAGGTAAGTCAGTTATTGCAAATAAAATTTGAAATTAAACGAATAATTAATAGTTTTGTTTTTTGTCTACTGTAATTGTAAATTTTAAAGACGTAAACAATAAAAATCTGTAATTTACAAAAAAAAAAAAAAAATTATTTACATATATTATAAACAATAAGTAAACATAAATGCTTAGAAAGCCTATTTTATTTATTATAACAATGAAAGCAAATCTCTTTGTTTTAAATATAATACAAAATAAAAAAAATACGAAAATATTTTTATTATACTTTTACGCAGAAATATTAATTTTATTTGTTTTTATATCAAAGCATTTTTATTGTAAAAACAAAGAAAGGAATATAATTTATACACTTTGCTGAAAGTTAAATAAATAAATAATTGCACAACGTAGGTACTTACCAAAACCAATCGGAAAGAACGAAGAAAAACCCAAAGAAAATATTAAGTAAATTTCGATTTCCACAAATTGCAAGCAACTGAACAATTTTAGATATATATATAAATTGATGATTCAGTTTAGAGATGAAAAAAAAATGTACAACACAACAGATTTCAATTTCTTGTAAAATTTGAGTTAAAAAAGTACTCTCGAGGCAGAGTTATTAGAACAAATTAAACGTCACGTTTTCAAAACAAAATAAAAATTTGAAAAAAAAAAAAAAAATTAAAAAAAAAAAAATTAAAAAAAAAAAAATTAAAAAAACAACAATAATGAAACGCGCAATGACAAAAACGTCGATGCTAACGGGTGTCTTTGCCGATCATGTGTACTGAAATTCTTTTAAAGTGCACAATAATTATTGTTCTTTGCTAATTGTTATTAGATTTTGCAATTAAAATTAAATTAAACATTCACTGTCACTATTCAGTTCCAAGAGTAATTAATTTTTAATATTTGCGCAATTATTAATTTATTTTTGCAGCAATTGTCCTCGTATTAATTTTATTATTTTAACAAATAAAATTTAATTTTGCTGTAGTCACAATTTTGCACCTTCTTTTTTTTTAAGTTTATACTTTTAAAAACAATATAAGTGATTGCACGTCTTCACATGTGAAAATCTTAAAAAGGACTGAGTATATTTAAAAAATTTCACTTACATTTTCTAGTAAGAAAACGTTTTCGAATTGAGTCGACAACGCAGCGAAATAATTTTTTTTTTTTTTGAACACAAGAAGCAAGACAAGACATTTGTTGCCTTTCTGCTATTTTTCTTCGCGAGATATCCTCAATCTCTGCACTCAGCTGCTGTCGATGTGTTGTTGGTATTGTTGTTGTTGCTGTTTTATTAAATAAGTACAAACAAGTGTGCTCTGTTAAAAATAAAATTCTTTGTAATTATAATTGCTGTTCTTGTAAATTCGTTATTTATTTGTTGCTTTTATTTCCGCATGCTCCCACCCTCCTGTATTAAAACAAATCAAAAACAAAAAGTAATAATAAGAGAAATTTTCTAATTAACATTTATGTTTCTGAGGTGAAATAAAGTGGCATTTTCTCTTGTGTATGCGTTTCGTGAAGAATACCTTTGGAGACTGCTGAGGTGAATTTTAATCCTTCAATTTATTTGTTCCATTAAATTATTTAATTTTTATCTAGAATTCGTATAAAAGATATCACAATTTATGTAAACTAAACAGTTTATTAATTAATTATTTATTAATTAATTATTAATATTGGTCCAAATCTATTGATTAATTATTCAATGAATGTAATAAAACTTCCAGCGTGACAACCCCACCATTAATTAATTATAATTATAATCTCATATAAGATTTTTAAGATAATTTGGGGTGTGAAAGGTCGCATGATTAACGTGTTTTTTAATTATTCATTAATTAATATATAATTTTGGTCAAAATCGATTGATTAACTATTCAATTAATGCAATAAAAATTCTAGCCCAGTTGACAACTCAACCTTTAACCAGTTATAAGCTTATATGAGACATTTGAGATAATTTAGGGTAAAAGGTCGAAAGATTAACGTGTTTTTTAATTATTAATTAATTAATAAATAATATTGATCAAAATCTATTGATTAAATATTCAATTAATGTAATAAAAGTTCCAGCGCGAAAGCCAAACCATTAATTAATTATGAGGTTATATGAGATTCTGCCAAACTCCAATACCTCAAATTTCGATAACTTGAATTTTCTATAACTTGAACTAAATAGAGTACAATAGGGTTTAGAGATTAAATTATATACAATTACAAAAAAAATTCTCTAACTCGAAGTCTCCATAAGTCGAACATTTTCTTTGGTATTTTGAGTTATAGAAGTTTGACTATATTTGAGATAATTTGGTGTGAAAGTTCGAGAGATTAATGTTTTTTTCTCATTAATACATTGTGACCGAAAAGCTTTCGGAAATTCTCATTTAAAATTCGCGCGCTGTATATTTTTCGATATTTTAAGTTTATGTAGTTTGGCAGCACTGTCCTTAATTACTATGCCAAAAATGAGCGCGATCTGTCAGACAGTTCGTTTACGGCAGCTGTTGAAACCAGTTCACCTCAGTAGTGCGTTGCGAAAAAAACAATGGAAAAAAATATTGAACAAAGAGTTTGCATCAAATTTTGTTTTTCGAACGAAATTTCGTGTGCAGAATCGTTGCGAATGCTACAAAAGGCTTATGGGGAATCAGTTTTATCGAAAACTCAAGTTTATGAGTGGTACAAAGCCTTTCAGGACTGTCGTACGACCGTCGAAGACATGCCGCGTTCTGGACGACCTTCGACCTCTACCACCGACGAAAACATTGAAAAGGCAAAGGAAATCGTGTTCAAAAATCCTCATGTGAGTGTTAGAGAGATAGCACGAGAGCTAGGCATCGGTCGTGAGATGGCTCGTTTGATTTTGGTGGACAATTTGTGTATGCGACGTGTCAACGCCCGGCTTGTTCCGATTCACCTCAATTTGTTCAACATTATCAACGATTTTAAGGCCAAACATTCAATAAATACCATCGAACAGCCACCGTATTCACCTGATCTTGCACCGTGTGACTTTTTCCTGTTTCCCAACCTCAAATTACCACTCAGAGGAACGCGTTTTGAATCCATAGAAGACGTAAAACAGAATTCGCAGAGGGAACTCAAAGCCATACCGGAAAGCGCCTATAAAAAAATGTTTTGATGATTGGAAGAAACGTTGGCATTTGTGTATCGCTTCTAATGGAGCATATTTTGAAGGAGATAAAATAAATATTGATGAAGATTAAGAATTTTGCGTTTTATTTATTTATTTCCGGAAACTTTTCGGTCACAATGTATAACGCTTTAGACCCTTAAAATAAGTTACTACTTGACTCATAATTCCATTTTTAATTAGAAAGTTGAGATGTCTCCGGTGAAGACAAAAGATCTATTGAATTATCTAAATTCGGTGGGATGGATTTTGTCTCTAGTCTTCTATACTAGGGGTTCTTGCGAGGAATGTGGTGGCAAAACGCCGAAAATCACTAATTTAGGTACATGGAAGTTATCTTATAGCTTGTCACTGCAACTAACCAATCAGGGCAAAGGATATAGCAGTCCAGGTTTTTATTCTAAGTTAACTTTAAAATTAATTTTTTGTTAACTTACAAATAATTAGACATATTTTGAACTTATCATTCAATAAATTGGTCAATAGTTAAATAATACACTTAATAATCTTTGGAATAAAAAATTGCGAATTATATTGTCTATTATTAATCTATTTGATATAAAAAAATTTAACATTATTTTTGATATTAGTTTAAAATATTATTATTATTTGTACTGAATTGGTATAAATCGTAATAAACTAATCTATTTAATTTAATTAATCTATTTGTTAAAAAAAAATGTTAACATTGGGCAGTTGTAAGTAGATAAAACATGATATGTCTCTTATTATTGTATATACATAGTAGATATGTACCAGTTCCTCTAAAAAGGTGGCTAAAAGAATATGCATGACAAATACATATATGTATGTATGTACGTTTTAGCACTTTTAATCAGTTTTTAGCGAGCCGTTAGTAATTGCCTACATATTATTCTTATGAAATTGTATTAAAAAAAATAATTTTTACTTTTAAATAAATTAAATTTAAAATGACACATTCCTATAAATATGTTGACAAATAGTACAAAAAATGTATTTAAAAAAATTTGACAAATCATCTAACTTTCTAGAAACGTCTAATTTCCAATGCGTATGTTTTAAAAATTCTTTAAAAATTGTTTGAAGTTATTAATCCTTTGTCACCCCCAACTAAGAACAAGCGCAACAAGTACATGTTAACAAATCAATAAAAAACAAACTAAAATTAATTGAGTAAATCAAATCTTAATATTGTTGCTTACACTTTACTCAGTATTCTCGAATAAGACCATTGCGCAGAATCTGTGGACCACAGAAAAATTTTCCCAATTTTCCACAATGAAAATATCTCCCTCGCAGTAAAAATCTTTAACGTCAGCATTTAGTGTCAAAAAACTTACAGAATGTTGCCCCATGCCGACGCACGGAAATTGCCGGTCTACACCATTTGAGGCCATACGGTGAAGAAGAGGCACTAATTGTTGACGTTCTTATTTGCTGGTTTTCAAGCATAGGAAATTTTCATGATTTTCATTTGAATTTTTTTGATTATTTGTTGTTTTTGTTTTGATCGGTGATCTTTTGGTATTTGAACAAAGACATTTATGTTATTGTTATTGTTGCGTATTTTTTTTTTTTTTGTTTGGTTTATTTTTATAGAACAAAAATATTTTTCTAATGATCATTTCGCTTTGCACTTGTTTTTGTTTTTGTGACATTTTTTTGCGACATAGCAGGAACACTATAGCCAGTAGGCAATATATTACTTTTGTTGTTGTTCAGTTGAATATTTTTCACAGGTGTACAGGCGATCGTTGTTTCTGTCTTGAAAATTGTGGGTTGCCATTGTTTCTTTATTTTGCAATAAATGTTTAATAAAATTTTTATTATAAAATTTTTGTTCTATTTTCAATTTATGTATAATTATGAATTCATAACTACGATTCTTAACCACAGTGTTCAACAGGAATAGTCCTTAATAAGAGTTCATTAATTTTTAAAGCCCTTTACAAGAACATTCTACTTTAGAAATTGGCAATAAATATCTGTAAACAATTTTTACGAGATAGAAAGAATTTTTTAAAAGAGAATATTGATTGCTCTTGTAATCAAGTCCGTAATCAATATTACTGGAATATTTACAAGTATGTGTCATTCTGTTAAAGTACTGACCATTTTGCTTTTAGCAATTTACAAATGGCATCAATTTTAGTTCTAGGAACAAGAAGGAGATACACTTTATAACATATTATACATATATACAGTATATAACTGTTTATACTAGGTGGATTGACAATTACCTGAGTTCAAAATAGGTGCCAACGCCAGAACAAAATCAATTATATTTTGTGTATCTGGCAAGTTTTAAACGACACCTGTAAGAGTTTCGACTTTATCAAATGTTTCATTAATTTTTTGCAAATTATAGAAATAGTGCACATTGGTGATCTCTTATAAAATGGAAAAAATGGAATATCGTTCAGTAATAAAATTCTTTAATTTTTTAGTACGTGAAAACGAATACGCAGACAAATTAGAAAAGGAGCAACGACACCGATAATGGGCCCGCAACATTTCTGTGGATTAGGATACAGTATTCATCCTTCTCTCGTAAAAATTAAAGAGTACCAGAACAAAAAGGTTTACTTGGAGAATATACCAAAATTAACACAATTCAAATCACTTATTGGAACCTATAAAAATAGGAGATATCAATATTGTATGGACTATCAAAAGAATTATCACAGGAATTTTAAACGGACACTGTAAACTAAAATATCACCTTACGAGACTGGGTATATATAAAGATGCAATATGTAGATTCTGCGAAGAG